GAACAAATTTTTTGTGGTATTCCTTGAGAGATTCCCCTTGCTGCTGCTTGCATTGGAAGAGATCAGAGGTTGTTAAAGATTTACTTGAGAACCCTTTGAAGTTGGCCATGATTTTGTCATGGAGGTTTTCCCAAGAGTATACAAACTTTGGTTTCAGCATAGAATACCATGCGAGGGTATCGTCTTCGGCTGCGATGACAAAAGACTTTGCTAGGACAGTGTCATTTCCACCAGCTGAGGCTATTGCAGCTTCGAAGCTCATGATGAATTGATGGGGGGTTTGTTTGGCCATTGAACTTTGGCAAGGAAATTGGCTTGTATGTTGATGGCCAAGGAGAGCTCTGTAAGCCTTCGAATAGCGGGGACCTATTGTCAATGGATCTTGGAGGTGGTAGAAGGCTACTAGATGTGCCGAAGATTGGATGAAGTTGAGAGGTTGACAGCTGGCTGCCTTGGTTTTGCAGAACTAGCGGAGGCTAGTTAGAGTTGTGCGAAGACGGAGGGTTTGATAGCAAGCTTTGGATTTCAGCTTGCAAGATTGCCAACTGTTGCCTTACTTTTGCTGCTTGCTGAGACATTAGTGCGGCCCTTTGGTTCTCAGCGTAGGCTGCAGCTAACCTGTCTCTTTCCTGCTGAGCCCGCTGAAGTTGGGCATGTAACTGCTGTAGTGTCTGTTCTGGTGTTCGGTTTTGGGCTGGCTACGCTGGCTGCCCTCCTTCGCCTGCTGGTTGATCTACCGCAGCCACCTCTTCTTCTTTGGCCTCCGCACCTTCTTGAGGTTGTGGGCTGGCAAAAGTGCTTGGAGTGTTACGCCTGGGTCTTCTCCACTAGGGGCTTCCTCCCCCCTCTGGGTGCGAGCGAAGGTCATTCTTTTTCCTGTCATTATAGGTTTGCACTTGGCCTAGCACGGTGGGCGCCAATGTTGGGAGAAGTGTCCCAGCAGGGCAAAGTACTTGGGGGCCTTCACCGATGAAGGTGGGGGCGAAGGCTAACTCAAACAAGACGATACCTCATGTGACACAATTAGGGTTTCATTCATTCATTGGACTCTCTTTACATGGGGTTGCTCTTCCCTTTTATAGGTTACTGTACGAAGTAAAGTCCTTCTACATTTATACGTTGTAACCGAACCGACACGGCATATCCTAGGGATATTCCTGTATAACTAGAGACCTCCTGGAGTATCTTTAGCCTTCTCCTTCCTAACCGCCTTTACTCCATGTGCCTCCTGTACAACTAGAGACCTCCTGGAGTATTTTTAGCCTTCTCCATCCTAACCACCTTCACTCCATGTGCCTCGCTTGAAGCCCGCTGGAGGACCAACAGGCGTGCAGAATGAGCTTCCTCTGAGAGCCTGGTCCGGCCTTCGCCGCAGTGCCTTCGCTTCCACTGGGCCTTCGCGTGGTCGTGCTGTTGTGAGCGAAGTCCGTATGAGACCCCCATCTTGCGGTATGCTCTGAGTCTTCGCTGGAGGTGTCTTCACAGGCCCTGTGCCTTTGCCCAGACCGGGGGCACCACCGAAGGCACCTGCATAATACCTGTAGAAGAAAAACACAACAGTCCACATTCCAGATTTAACTATTAGTCGTTTGGCAAAGGGAAGGAGGGCCTTGCCTTCACGACCAAGACATCTGTGTCCCAACACAGGACAAACGGGGCGATGAGCAAGATCAATACATCATAGCTGCTAAAATCAGAGGAGGGCTGCATTTTTTTTTTTTTTTTTTTTTTTTTGCGAATAAAGGAGGGCTGCATTGCAACAGCTCACCCAGCCCAGGAGTCGGCCAGGGGCTTTCACAGATGAGGCGGACGATGGCGTAGAAGCGCGAGCTGGTGCTGAGAATCCATGGAGCTGACACAACAGCTTGCATCTTGCCCTGGGAAACCATCGCAGGCAGCCTTATGAAGAGTAGGAGCTGTGAAGCCAAGAGCTCCGGGGCGAGTAGCGGCACGTAGAGGGGGCTGCCGCTGCAACAGCCCTCGTCTCCGTGGCACCGCCCAGATCCACCCCACGTCGCAGTAGTTGCCGCTCGCCTCCGCGCTGCCATAGATCTGGCCGCCGATGGGGAACAGGAGAAGGGAGGCAGAGACGAAAAGCAAAATGGATTTCGATCCACGGACGCGAAGGGAGTAGAAGTTCAATGAATAAAATTCTCGGGTCCGCCACGCTTCCAACCTTCCCAGCTAGGACGCCTGCTCACCGTCGCTGCCTGCGTGGGGTCGTGCAGGAGAAGGTCCACCAGCCAGCGATTGTTCCTCTACGAACCCACGCGATGTCTGGCTGAGAGCCCTGCCATGCGTCGACGCGTGCGAGGATGTCCGCGGCCCCGTGAAATGCTCTGGTGCGAGGAATTCACGGTACTGCCTCCTTAAAAAAAAATGCAATTCTCAGGAGTTAAACCATTTTAATTTTTATTAAAATTTATATAAAAAATTACTAATATTTATAATACAAAATGATGAAATATATTTTCATAATAAATCTTGTTTGAAACATAAATATTAATACTAATCGCTATAAACTTAATCAAATTTTAGCAAATTTAACCAGCGTGAATCCCATACTACGTTCATTCCGGGACGGAGGGAGCAGTCTTTAAGGAACCCGATGTTAACGAGGCTACAAAGTAGTGGCGAGTCCAGCACAAATTTTACGAACTCTGTCCGTTCGAACCGTACAGCGTGGTGCAGACAAGTGTAGCCATTTGTTTGGTGGTAGGGAGCATCTGGACAATGTTCCAGAAGCTCACCAGCAACATCCACATGGCCTTCATATGTATATGTATGCGGCTTTAAAGAGAAGAGGTTCAACGTTTTTGGCTTCACCTGAGTACCCTAAAGACCGGTCGTGTTTCAGAAATACTTTTAGCACCTCAGTCTTGTTCCAACTTACAGCCAGCTGTATTGGAGTGTTTTTTTTCTTGTCTACTTGTCTTGCCAGCCCAGGACGTTTCATCATAATCCTTTCAGCAATGACTACATACAAGTAAAGCAGTAGTAAATTAATACGGTGAACGGCTATAGAAATGTAACGACGGCAATTACAATATATTAGTGTTATCAGAGTAGAGAGCAGTACTTTCTCTGTCCCAGCAAACTTGAAATGCCTTGACTCTTCAAGAATAACTTATAATTTTAAACGGATGGAGTATTATACTGTACCATACCAGATGCTCCGCAGGTAGGTATCACCTGAGTTACCGTTTCTCACGGCAGCATGCAGAGCATATTGTAGCCGTAGGCTCCTCCGTGAGCAGAATCAAGAATCTCCAGCAGTTTCCTCCTAATTCCTCATCACCGTGACGAACATGGGTGACTCGCCGTACCGGTTCACATCCTGCGACAGAGCGGGCTCTGCTTCTATCAGCTCCAGCACTAGCTTCCTATATCCACTGCGGGTGGCATGGTGCAGCGCGTTGCATCCACGCTTGTCTTGCTTCAGGACCGTCTTGCTCAGCTGCTGATCACGGCAGCACCTGAGAAGAACAGAAGCTACCGAAACACTGCCGCTTTCCACGGCGGCGAGCAGAGGCGTCTCCCCTTCCGAGTTGACTGCTGCGAGGAGCGACGGCTCCAGAGCCTGGGCCTCCGTGCAGAACCCCTGGTGGCCATGGATTGACGCGATGTGGAGGCAGGTGTTCCCCTGTGGCCTCCTTCTGAGCAGCACGCCCGGAATATCCTGGTTCAGTCGCATCATTTTTGTGACATTACCAGAAGTGGCTGCGTCCAGCATGCCGGGATCCATCCCCTGATCAAGGATATTAATTATACAAGACATATATATGGATTTTGATTGATAATAAAACATATACACGGATAAAACGTACATAATACCAAGACGATAGGCTTGGCGTGTTCGCCGGCACTTTTAACTCAATGTTACATCAATGTCTTTGTGCTTCTTTAGTTCATCCACCAATTCCGTCTTGCCCTTTCTCTCTGCGAGACGCGGAGCAGTTTCACCACTGTTATCTGCCATGCTAACGAGATGCTGAAGCTGTGGAGACTCCAGGCATACTGTACAAACTCTGTATGACCAGACGATATAAACTTGACCCGCGGGGGTAAGACGGCCCCCGGTCAATATGCGATAGAGAAGACTTCTCGCGCATATCAAGAAAACCCCCGAACCTCCGCTCCACCCATACCAGCGGTCCGTAGCCCATGTGAGACTAGGCCAGACTTCTGACATGGCTTTGGACATGGGGCAGACGAGGGGATTTGCTTTTACCCCCAGCCTGAAATTCGCTCCCACGGGAAGTCGAACACAGGACCTGGAGGGTGCCGCTGGAGTTCTCTAACCGGTTGAGCTAGAGTCCTTTGGCTGACCAGACAATATATACAGCTTTATGAAGACATGTCGAACCATTTTCTACAAATCTAGTCCAATTTTAGAAAGTTTGACCGACACGAATAACGTAGCGACGTTTATTTTGGGTTGGAGGGAGTACCTACATAATTGGCATATATTTCTTCTTTTTTTTTAGGTGCTGCTTTCAAACATCCAGATGGCGCTGCAACCTGCAGCATACCTCTGTTTTCATTTCTGTGTTCCACTCTGGGAGAGCTGCCATGCTACCGTAAGATTATGGAACACGTGTCCATCCCGGAAAGATTAATATTTATCCCTGCAGATGGAGACATGCACCATTTTGATTAAAGTATATTTCTTCCCTAAAAGGCTAGTACTTCTGTTTACTGTCTGGTTGCTAACAGTTATCTTTGAAAAATATGAAGTATGATGGCAAACACTGTAGGCCCTAATGTATTTCTCATCAACAAATTAGCATGTCCAACATGCAAATAAAATACTACCACTCATCTCTGCAGGCTGAAATATTATGTGTTCAAAGTACATAATTCTGGTTTTATTACAGGGATTCCAATTTACCCAAACAATAGTGCTATTCTGCAAACCTTGCAACAAAAATATGTTGTTTCCTTATGTTTTCAACATAAAAACAGGGAAGTAGATGGAAGCAATAACTGAGGCGATGAAGCTAGACCATATCAAGGAGCTCCGAATTGAATGTCCGACCCAACCGAAATCTCAGTCTCAATACGGGCCATTCACCAAGAAGCTTAGTAAGAATGGGCAGCAAAGATGTGAGAATGCAGATCGCAATAGCCAGCCATGGGAGTCGAGGAGCCAGAACAGTGTATAAACCAGTAGCGAATGCTGTGGTGGTTGCCATGTAAGCAAACCACATGAGCTTCTTTGTAAAAGACCTGTAGTAAAGCAAGAACTCAAGATCCTCCAACCTTGCTATGACGCATATGAAGGCAACAGCAAGTGAGGAGCACATTGCCAAGGTGTCAGAGACCAAGAATGCCTTAAATGCGAACTTCCTTGCCATGATAGGAAGCCCCTCGTTTTCATGATCAGTGCTATATCCTCCAGGCAAAGTGAAAGCAGCAGCAAAAGTGATTGTTGCAATGAGGATCGCTACTAGGGAAGTGTTGCCTGTGTATGTTTGAGTCAGTGACTTGATATCCTTCCTTGTTCTTTTTGTCACTTCAGCATGGGCTTGCCTGCGGAGGTTATAAATATTTGTTGCGGCTTGAGGATCAGCATTCAACATAAGCATGGAAACTTCATTCTGCACATAGAAAGATGCAAAAGGAGCTTGGTAACGATGATAGTCTAAATCAGATGTTTCAGGTAAGGAAGATCGATCGACGCGCGCGTGTGCAGAAGATTGGCATAACTAATGATTTTTTGTGGAGTAATTAAAGTAGTACTACATACTAATCATTAGGAAAACATACGAGTACGAACCCAGTTTAATGTCTTGGAATTGTCGGCTGCACCATCTAATTTCCAGATTGCTGAGATTCCCCCGTTGTTAAGCACTGTGACGTCTATGTCTGGGTGAAGCAGTAAAGCAGCCACCATCTTGGGATTGCACTCTCGGACTGCGAGGTGCAGAGCAGTATGGCCGTGTTCATCTCGCATGTTAATGAGTCTACCAAATTGTGGCAAACCCAGGACAAAATCTACGAACTCCATCTGTCCTTTCGATACAGCTTGGTGCAGACATGTCCTGGAGCCATGTCTTGTAGTAAAGGGCGCATCTGGACAATGTTGAAGAAGCTTTCGGGCAACACCGACATGGCCTCTATGTGCAGCAGAAACAAGAAGAGGGGTACCCTGTGAGGAGAATACATAACCTAAAGACCGATCATGTTCCAACAGTACTCTTAGCACGTCAATCTTGTTCCAAAGTACAGCCAGGTGCAGTGGAGTGGCCGTTGTTATGCTATTGTCTCCTGTTGCTGCGAGCGCAGGACGTGTCTGCATAATCCTTTCAGCGATAGCTGCAAATTATGAAAGTAAAGACGGTCATCATCCATCGAATGACGACATGTGTGATGGAGTGGTAATATATTGAAGGGCACGTTTGCTTTGTATCTGTTTTCGGCCCAAGCTATATTTAGGGCATGTTTGGATGCACCCAATTAAAGCTTAGTTAGCTAAAATTTCAAAGTAAAACTTTATCTAGCTAAAAGTTTCTCAGCTAAACTTTAGCTAGGGTGTTTCTCCAGCTAACAGACTCAGCTAAATTTTAGCTGGATGTAGCTGGGTTAAAATAGTTATACCCAGCTAAATTTTAGCTGGTCTTTTAGCTGGGCTGTTTGGATGCCTAACAACTAAATTTAGCTAGCTAAATTTTAGCTGGAGCATCCAAACATGCCCTTAATTGACAAGTGCAAAAAATTTTGGCACCCATTTGCTTAGGTTCGTGGCCAATATAATTGACATGCCCTGGCTACAGTAATGAGGAGGACGTTGCACGGGCCATCATGCATTTTGCTCGGCCACGTTTGACTTTGTCGGCTACGAAGGGTTGAAATGCGATCTCCAAGCTAACGCATATTACTTTGGCACATAATGTTTGGTCCAACTAATAAATAGTGCATATTTTGTTAAAATAACCTTCTTGTCATGATTGGTGGCAATATATAAATCTACTATAGTTTCTCCGATCTCCGTGGCCCGCACTACACAGTGATGCCCCTCCCGGAGCACTATAAATAAAGGGGTGATACCTGTACACGTTCCCTACGTCAATTTTATCGTCAAATACACCATACTACAATAAAAAAACAAAATATTTGGGGTTACTCAAGACTTGAACTCGCGACCTACCACTTAGCACTAACAACGTACTACAACTACATCACAGACTCACCTGTGAGTACACACACAAGATTCTCTTTTTTTTAATATTTCATAAATTTTGTATTGAATATTTGACTACTAAATAAACTCAAATGAAAAAAGTTTAACACGGAAGTGTTAAATCTTGTTAAGCAGTACAACTTTAGTACAGGATGTGTCTCCATCCGAGATTGTTTGAAAAAAAATCAGAAATGTGAATCTTAAAATATGTTAATTTAATATATATATATGACACACTAAACAAATTCAAATAAAAAATTTATCAACTATAAACATGTAGGTCAGGTCAGCTACTACAACTTTGGTATTGACTATATGAACATTTAAGGTCGTTCAGAAATTCTAAATTTTGAATTTCAAAATTTATAAACTTAGAAAATATAGACTCTCAACGATCTCAAATGAAAAATATTTTTAACTACAAAATTGTAAACTGTATTAAGAAATAAAACTTTGGTATAGACCAATCAACGTTCAAGGTTGTTTGAAAATTTTAAATTTCAAAATCCATGAACTTAAAATAATATTTTGGGATTCTAAATAGTTTTAAATAAAAAACTTGTCAACAATAAAGTTGCAGATTACGTCGAGAGCTACAATTTTGATATAAAGTTTGTTTTCATCCATGTCCATATGGAAAAGTTATAAATTTTTTTAGGTGTAACTATTTAGATACAGACATCTTAAGATCCTGTCTTTGAAAAATCAATTTTCAGAAACGGACACTTTCAATGTCCGTCTCTGAAAATTGATTTACAGAGACGGGCATCCTAAGGTGACCGGCGGTTACCTTAGGACATCCTCCTTTGTAAATGATTTCCGGAGGAGGGTATTTTTCTAGAGGCCATACGACCATTTACAGAGGCGGCCCCTAAATATATCTGCCTATGGTCAGAGAGCCTGTCCCCTAATATCATTTTTTTAGTAGTGATAGATCAATCTATTAGTTGTTGAATGGCTAAGAATGCCATATACAGCTACTGCTGCTGCAAATCTACTCCATGTTCTTCACAATCTAGAGGAAAGCCCCAATTTGAGAAAAACTAAGGACCTACATCATCTACATGAACACTACTTCAAGTAAAGAAGTATAGTTGGCATCTATAGACTCTGGTTAGTATCTAATACCCGTTTTTTTTAACTAAGTTATGTTAGTAATAATATTTAGTCTATGTAAGATCCTGTTATGTCTAAGATCAATTATTCAACACCAAGAAGAAGTGAGGTGAGGTGGCAATAGGGGAATTGGGTGCACCTAGACCTATATCTCTTGGTCAACCAAACTTTAAATCAAAATACCTCTTAAATCATGTATCTGATTTTCAAACGGTTTTCATCATAATATTCTTCATGGTTTTGTCACAAAATAAGATTCATATTTGACATATTTTGATTGAAACAATTTTAACAATGTTTAGGAAGGATAGTAAAAAAGGCAATCTTCTCTCTCATAGATTGGCTTGGCCACAAAATCCAAACAACATTTTTATTGCCCAGAAAATTTTGGCTTGGCTGAGTCATATGGCACGGACCAAAACCCTAAAGAATAATAGTACGTCGCCGCCTTTACACATAGATTTTAGTTTCTCGAAAAAAAGAAGGAAAGAGGTATAGTACTTGGCAGGTGTCACCTGAATTGCCATTTCTCACGGCAGCATGAAGAGCATTCTCGCCATCGACTCCCCCATGAGCAGAATCAGGAATCACACACAGACTCTCGAAGACATCCCTGTAATTTCTCATCACCGCGATGAACATGGGTGACTCGCCGTATTGGTTCACAGCTTTGGACAAAGCAGGCTCCGCTGCTACCAGGTCCAGAGCAAGTTGCGTGTAGCCGCTTCGGATGGCATGGTGCAGTGCATTGTTCCCTCGATTGTCTTGCACCAGGATTGCCTGGCTCAGCTGCTTATTATGGCACCACTCGAGCAAAGCAGAAGCTAGAGTGACACGGCCGCTCGCCACGGCGGTGAGCAGAGGGGTCTCGCCGTCCGAGTTGACGGTGGCGAGGAGTGACGGCTTCAGAGCCTGGACCTCCATGCAGAACCTCTCGTGGCCATGGATGGCGGCGATGTGGAGGCATGTGTTCCCCCGAGGAGTGGTTGCAAGCAGCACGCCATGCGCATCCAGGTGCCTGATTCCTGGGAGATAACCAGATACTGCTGCTTCCAGGAGTCGGTCCATCTCCTTCAACTTCTTGCATGATTCTCTCTGCTTTCAGGGGGACGTATAGGCGATATTACACAAACTGACACGTTTTATCAACTTGGCATGATATATAACGGATAAATCATACGTACCGACGTGAAAGGCTCTGCATGGATACTTAAATTAAGGTGGAACTGTAAAACAGCGATCATGCTCATCATAGTTTGTCGTCTTTCTCCTCCGTCACCTTCTTGCATGATTCTCTCTGCCAGTTGCAGAGCAGTTTCTCCTCTTTCATTGGGCAGGTTAATAAGATGCTGAAGTTGTGGTGACCTCACGACAAACCTCACAAAATTTGACCGACCAGATGATACAGCTATGTGAAGACATGTCGAGCCGGTTGCGTTGCAGTAGGGAGGATCAGGACAATGTCTAAGAAGCTCTCGAGCAACACCAACATTGCCCTTAGTTGCTGCGATACAAAGAAGAGAGGAGCCATCTGTGGAGATTAAATGACACGAAGACGGGTCATGTTCCAACAATACTGTAAGTATGTCAATCTTGTTCTCCTTTGCAGCCAGGTACATCGGTGTACGCTCATCTTCATTTTCTTGTCTGGCTAGCCATGGACGTGCCTCCATAACCCTTTTAGCCATAACTGAAAGCAAATCAAGGCAAGAAACAGGTGATCAAAGCTGACGATAGTTATTAGATATGATGTTTCTGTGAAGAAAGTAACAAATTTCACAATCCTAATTATTCCAGTTCTGATTGAAGCCTTCTTTGAAGAAGAGATCTGCCTGAGAAGCATAAACACCTCTCATATAACACTCATCTCCAAAAAAGATGGTCCATCCACAGCTGCAGATTACAGACCAATCTCTCTCCTCAACACCTCCTTCAAGCTTATCACCAAAGTGTTAGCCAATAGATTGCAGAAAATAATTAGGCAAATCATACACAAAAATCAATATGGATTCATCAAGACCAGGAATATTCAGGACTGCCTAGCCTGGGCCCCGGAATATCTGCACTTATGTCATAAATCCAGGAAAGAACTAGTTATTTTAAAGTTGGACTTTGAAAAGGCATTTGATAAAGTGGAACATCAAGCCATCATCCAAGTTCTTAGGGCCAAAGGCTTTGGGGGGAAAATGGAATAATTGGATCAATGAAATTCTGAACATTGGGACTTCTTGTGTGTTATTAAATGGAATGCCAGGCAAGGTCTTACACTGCAAAAGGGGAGTCGGACAAGGAGATCCACTCTCACCTCTACTTTTTGTGCTGATAGCAGATCTTTTGCAATCAATTTTGAACAAAGCTAAGGACCTAAACTTACTACAGCTACCTATACCTCTAAGGTGCTCTACAGATTTCCCAATAATCCAATATGCGGACGACACTTTGATAATCATGGAAGCCTGCAGCAAACAACTCTTAACCTTGAAAGCATTATTACACTCTTTTGGTGAATAAACAGGATTAAAAGTCAACTACAGCAAGTCAGTCATGGTGCCCATCAATATTCAGGAGAATAGGCTTGAGCACCTTGCAAGAACTTTCAACTGTGAAAAAGGCAAACTACCTTTCACATATTTGGGATTGCCATTGGGATTAACAAAGCCCAAGGTCATTGATTTTTCCCCACTGGTCAGCAGATGTGAGAGAAGACTGGCTGCCACATCAACTTTCCTCAACCAAGCAGGAAGGCTAGAATTAACTAACTCAGTTTTCTCAGCTTTTCCTACTTTTTGTATGAGCACCTTTGCAATTCATAGCACAGTGATTGCTCAAATAGATAAATTCAGAAACTATGTCTATGGAGGGGGGCTGACCTTAATGCAAGATAGAAACCAAAAGCTGCCTGAACAAATGTTTGTAAGTCAAAGAAGGAAGGGGGACTGGGAGTGATAGACCTCAAAACCCAAAATGAGGCACTACTCCTAAAACATCTGATCAAATTCTTTAACAGAGAAGATATACCATGGGTCTCACTAGTATGGGAGAGCTATTATGAGGTTGGCAGTCTACCATCATTGGCCAAGAAAGGATATTTTTGGTGGAGAGACATTCTAAAACTATTAGACAAATTCAAAGGGCTGGCAATGGTAAATATCAACAATGCAAAGTCCTGCTATTTATGGACAGATTTGTGGAGCAACAAGGTCCCAATGCACGAGAGAACTTCTCAAGAGAAAAAACATGGAACTGAAGGACTACAGCTGTGTCCTGTGTAGTTCTTCGACAGCGGAATCCCTATTCCATCTACTAATAGATTCCCATTTGCCTCAACCTGCTGGAACTGGCTTGGAATGCAGGTTAGCCAACACCTAGACATCTTCCAGAGTCTAGAAAATTTCAGAAGGCAACTCCAAGTCCCTTTCTTCACAGAAATCATCATTTTGATGTGCTGGACGATCTGGCAAGCAAGGAATGGGCTCATCTTCAACAACAAACAGCCTTCAATTCAGGAGGCAAAAAGGGCCTTCAAGTATGAATTTACGCTACTTCTGATACGCGCAAAAAGAAGCTACTTTCCTGCGATCGAATTATGGTTAAACAATCATGTTTAAGCTTTTTAGTGTGGCTCATCTTTTTCATTTCTTTCTTTGTCTCTTGAACCCCCCTGTATTCCTACCTATTCCTACCTGTACTTACTTTTTAAAAAAAAAATTAATAAATTACCAGTAGGGGTGCGCCCCTCCTGTTCCATGTCAAAAAAAAAAAAATATTCCAGTTAGCTGTATGCATTGGTCTCACCTGCATTACCACTTGTCACGGCAGCATGCAGAGCATTGCACCCATGGGCTCCCCCATGAGCTGCATGAGGAATCTTCAATAGTTTCTCCAAGACGTCCCCATAATTTCTCATCACCGCGGTGTACATGGGTGACTCGTTACAATTGTTCACAGCATCTGCCAGGGCAGGCTCTGCTTCTATCAACTCGAGTGCGAGCTTCCTGTGTCCGCTGCAGATGGCATGGTGCAGTGCGTTGAATCCGCGCCTGTCTTGCCTCCGGATCGTCTCGCTCGGCTGTTCACGGCAGAACCTAAGTAAAACAGAAGCTAAAGTGGCACGGCCCCTAGCCACGGCGGTGAGCAGCGGCGTCTCGCCATCGGCGTTGATGGTGTTGAGTAGAGGAAGATACTGGTTGAACGTCGTCAGGACATGCTCGCAGAACCCCTGGTGGCCATGGATGGAGGCGATGTGGAGGCAGGTGTTCCCCTGTGGCGTGGTTCCAACAAGCACTGCTGGCTCATGTGAAGCCAGGTCCTGCATTGCTGCGTCTCCAGTTGCTGCTGCTTCTAGGAGACGCCTATCCATTGCAGCTGCTCCTGATGACTCAGTGGCTGACGAAGTGGTTGCTCCTTCTGACGTACTAGTCGAAGTTGTGTCGTCGGGCACCTATAGTACAAAAGAAAACTATATGAATTCTTAATAAGACTAATCATACGGTTACTATTTGATACTCGTTCTGAATAACCTCCACGTTAAAGTGATGACTCCTAGAGATTGTTGGAAACACCATAAACATTGACTAGTAATTTGGTAGACTCTAACGAAGAAACATTTCACGTTCTTGATAGAATTGTTAAAATCGCTGCCAAACGGTAAAAAAGAGAAATGTTTTAGGCCCCATTCGTTTACTTGGAAACAGGTGCCGTTCTAGCTGGAATGACAGGTTTATTTACAGTAGTAATGATCAGCCGGATTATTTCCTACCCTCAATCCACACTAAACGAACGAGGCCTTAGGGAGAATCACTTGGAACCAATTCCCGTTTTTTACTAGTTCAGAGAAACACCAGAACCTGCTTTCTCCTTCTAGCTCTAGTTTCAAGATTCCAACAAATGGTTCCACGAAGCGGTTCTGATTCAGTAGAGAAACATTTATAGAGAGAATCTAGACATGAAATGTTTCTATGAAAATCCGGATTCCTACCAAAAGCACTCTAATCATCGATAATAATAGTCATTGCCTCTATTATGCTTTCTTAATAATTACTCGCCTTTGTCTTTATGAAAATCTTCTAAGTAACCCCTAAATCTATATCTAAATTATGTAACTCATCATTACAATCAATGTTAACCCGATGGTTTATATATATCCTCATATAAATTACTCATCTGAAAAAAAATTAGAAGGAAACGCCGTAACCTGAACATAAATTACCCACTTATGCCATTATCAAAAATACCTTAAACTACATAAACCTACGTGTAAACTATCTAGTTTATCATTATACAAACAAATCCAAAATTATGGATCCTATATGTGCTTCGAAATTGCACACTTCTACCATTATTAATATATAAAAAAATCTAAATCACGGTATATATGCATGATGCGTGTCACCATTCTGACCGCTTATATATACATTATGTGCAAGCTATGATTATAACGATTTTTAACACATAGCTCAAGATAAGGTTTTTTTTCGAAGGACGGCAAAAGCTTTGCCGCGATTTCTATTAGACGATGAAAAAAAAAAAAGGCAAATGCCCACCCAGTTTTTTGAGCGGAAACTGGGTCCAAAAACCATACAACTCAGGAGAGTGCACCACTTGTCCTAGCAACTTTGGTACAACAACTGAACAACTATCACAACTCACACCACTACTCCATCCAACTTGGTCAGAACGACCCAACTAAACAACTCAAATATCAACTAAAAGGACCGAACAAAACGACGTCCTGCCGAGCGACACCAAGCAGCAAGGATCAAGCGCGAAATTGGAATGCCTAGCCATGCCCCCAAGGAGGAAACGACGCTAAACGCGCCGACATGGTAGCCCGCCAAGGAAGGTTTTCACCTGCAACATCTAGTACGGTAGGAGAAGAGGTAGGAAAGGACGCCTTCAAAAAGGGAACGACGTCCGCAGACGTCATCGTCCACGCTTTCGCCCCCACCTCAAACCACCTCCACACCGTCACCGCCAGAGGCCCAACCCTACCAGGAGGCAGGGTGCGGCGCCTAGACACCGCCCCTAGGGACGCCGACCAGGAGAAGCGTCGAGGGAACCCGCCGGAGAGTCCGCCCCCACCACAACCGGCAATGCCAGCCAGCAGCAGGCAGAACCGGCCAGCTCCACCATGAAAACCAGCCCGGGGAAGGGGAAAGGCAGATGGCAGGGAGAAGAGGGCCGGGATCAGAAGAAGCCCCAGTCGCCCAACCCACCAACGTCCCCACCCCCTGCCGAGCCGGCCCCGCAACAATCACGCCGCGCAACACCTCCAGCAGCCTCCGCGTCATACTGCCGCCGTCATGCCCGCTCCCCAGCCCTCCGTGGATCTCGGTCAAACCACATCACTGGCACCGGGTGAGGAAGACGTAGGATGCCACAATGGGAGCGCCAAGCACCAAGCGCCTGCAGCCCCAGCCACTGTTCCCAGCACCCAGGCTGGAGCCGCCGCCGCGGACGCATGGGCTCCCCGCCGTATCCGCAAAGAACCACCGGATCCAGCCAGCAAGCCACCGGATCTGGCCCCAGGGACACCAGATCCGGCCTCCAGCACCCCAAATCCGCCGACCTGAGCCACCGTAGCAGGCGCCTCAGCTGGCCAGCGTCAAAGGGGATCTGTCCGCCATCACCGCAGCACGCCGGAGCCTAGGCCAGGCACCGTCCAGATCCAGTCGCCGCGCACGCCGGAGCAGCCTCCTCTCGTTCCCCCTGCGGGATCCAGCCGAGACCGGCCAGCAGACCGGCCAAAGCGGCCATGCCCCACCGGAGCCAGAGCAAGGGAGGGAGGAGGCAGTTGGAGAGGGCGCGGGCACCACGTGGGCATGCTCGGCCACCGAGCACTCCGGGCACCCGCGCAGATCCAACCACCGGACCCCTGAGCAGGCCCGGTCACGCTGCTCGACGCAGCCCGCCGAGATGGGAAAGGAGGGAGGAAGGAGAGTGATGGGTGAGGAGGAGAGCGAGATTGCCGCGCCGCCGCCCTCCTCGCCGGGCCTCTGGCCAGCAGCTCCGGCGGCGGCGCAGGCGCCGCTAGGGTTGCGGGTGCGAGGGCGCTGGGAGAGCCGCCCGAGCCGCCCGCCTGGACGACGCGGGGGCCAAATGCAGTCGCTACTGATCCATCGCTCAAGATAAGGTTTCAACTAAATGTATGTCCATTTAGATCCTCTACCTTGATAGTTCGTAGTACTTAGCTTGAGGAAGCTACTTAATAATTTTTTTTTACTAGCTGGACTATTAGTTATGGTGTTTGAATCCACAAGTTCTAATTTTGTAGCTGTTAAAAATTTGTAGCTCCGAACTAAACACCACCACGTAACAATGCAAAAGACACGAAGACGTTGCCGATACTTGTTTTCAACGAAAGACATGAAGATGCTGCGGATACTTCGTTTTTAATGATGGACCCATTGAGAAAGAAGACGTACGACGAATGCAGCCTTGACGTCGTTACCGGCGTTTGAAACGATGCTTTCCGATCCACGTCTGGAGGAGAGTGGTAATTGATCTACATATAAGAATTTATTATCGGACACATAACTGAAAGACGCAACTAAGAGTCAGATGCATGAACACGGAAGAATGAAAGAGCGCATACCTCGCACACAAAGTCGGGTGCCGGGAGCAGTAGCCGTAGCAAACTAGGAATCCAAGGGCTGGCCAGCCGTTGGAGCAATGTGTTTACATGCCGACCGCAGTAGCTTAAATGGTAGGAGCGTACGTCGACAGCTAACACACACGGCGTCTGAATGGTAGGAGCGTGGGTAGTCAGGTATAGTGTGCTTCATGTGCACCAGTTTAGCCATAAAGCACACACATCCGTCCATACATGATTTCGTCAATAAGAAAAAAAATATATAAAGTGCGACAAAGCTGTAAAATGCCGCTAACCACGTTTCAGCAACCTTAATTTCTACACTTTTGTATTTAGCCTTTATTTATATTAGACTGGGGTTTCCTGGTGCTTACGTTTTGCATCGTATTCCATGGTTTCAAGTACCTTCTGAACTGGCCAAAGGCCTTTGTGACAAAATAATTAAGCAGCATGATCTGCGGGAACCAGTGAGAGGGCAATCATAACATCCATTGGCTCAGCTGGGAGAAGATGATTATGTCTAAGAAAGAAGGAGGGTTGGGTTTCAGAGATGTACATGCTTTCAACTTGGCCACGCTAACCAAACAAGGCTGCTGGCTGGTGCAGACTCCTGACTCACTTTGTGCGCGAATATTGAAGGTAAAGTGCTTTCCAAACTCAAGCTGTCTGTCCGCTCGTCCCAAGGATGGGATCTCTTACACCTGGAGGGGTATTCTCAAGGGAATTTTAGTCCTAATAAAGGAGGGGATGATATGGAGGATTGGGGATGGAGGGAGGGATAGATATTTGGAATGATCCATGGTTCCCCAAGGAGTACACTCGTAAGACGATTACTCCTAGGGGCCACCACCTTATTCGCCAGGTCTCAGAACTCCTCGATCCTATCACTGAAGACTGGGATGTTCAGCTGGTGCGCGACACCTAGCTTTAGAGTAATGGAAATCCATTTCTATTTCAAAAAAAAAGTTAAAAATCCTAGGAAGCGTTCCATCGAATTGGAGAATAGTGGCAACGGATTAGCATACAAATCCGTAGGTATATAAGTCCAAGGAAAATATCTAAATCCCAACCTACCGTGATATAAAATGACTAATGACCAATTCAATCCATTCCAATCCAATCCAGACGCTCTTCAGTCTAATTAAATCCACCCAATATGATCCAATGAAAATTAAAAAATAACTCTTATAACTATCTATAAATTCTATGTTAATATCTAGACCTTAGAATTTAAAAGCTCATCATTGAAACCTTAAAATTTAGCAAACTCGATTAAAATTTGTTAGAGATGAGTAAGTACGACTGCCTGTTACTTTTGTATAGACTGATATGACTAGATATATACGAGAACCCCATGTTGAAAGCTGGACCATATATATAATTGAACCTCGTGTTCACACCTTATAATTTTATAGAAAAACTGACTAAAATTTGCTGGAGATGATTCAATACAATTGCCTATTACTTTGCGTAGACCAGTGTGACTAGGTACATAAGTGGACCCCATGTCCAAAACCGAACTGTAGAATTAAAATTCTCGTGTTCACAACATAAAATTTTTAGTGAAATCGACCGAAACTTTCCAGAGATGAATAAATATATGATTGTTCTCTACTTTGTGTAGACCGATGCGATCAAATATATACATGGACCCTTGTCGAAAGACGAACCCTAAAATTAAAACCACACATTCTCACCTTAAAATTTTAGCAAAAAAAATAACTGAAATTTATTTGTTCACAGCGTTTACATGGGTGACTCGTTATATT